CCCCCTGCCCAGACCCACGACGAAATGGCCACCGTCCCCCTTGGCTTTAACATCGATGCCCCGCGCTGGGACCAGAGCACCTTCGTGGGGCGCCTGAAGCATTTCCTCAACATCACCGACCCACGGACAGTGCTGGTGCCAGAGGAGGAGCTGGACCGGGCCAAGGCCCTCGTGGAAGGCTGCAGGTAAGAGGCAGGGGTGCAGCCAGGGCAGGTGCCACCCCCGTGCCCACGGCCATACCTGACCACCCTGCGGGGCCACGGTGGGGATGGAGGCAGTTGTTCCCCAGTGGGCGCGCTGGGACGTAACATCTGTTGGAGGCGGTTTTTGGGGGAGTTTCCCGGGCTTCTCCCGGAGCCTCAAGCTGGGACAAGTTTTCCTGACGTTGAGATGTTTCCTCTGCCTTTCATGTTTGGCATCCGGGGCTCCGCGCCCTGGCAGTGCCAGGTGCCGGAAGGGCTGCAGGGCTGTGCAGCACCCTCTGACGGGCTCTGGGCTTGCAGGGCTGGGCTGGTGCCACCGGGAAGCAGCCAGGAGCAGCTACTCTATGCCAAGAAGCTGTATGACTCGGCCTTCCACCCCGACAGCGGCGAGAAGATGAACCTCATCGGGAGGATGTCCTTCCAGGTGCCGGGGGGCATGGCCCTCACCGGCTGCATGCTCCAGTTCTACCGGTGAGCCCCTAGGATGCCAGGCTAGGGACGCAGCCCTGACATCCCCCAGCCTCTGGAGGGGTCCCTGAGGGCCGAGGCACAGCCAATCTGCCTCCTCCCGGGCTGTCTGCTGCCCGAGGCATGCCCGTGGCTGCTGTGCCTGCCTCTGCCCTGTGGCCAAGCCCCATGTCCCCAGTGCCCAGCCGGTGGTAAAAGCATCGCAGATCTTCCTGGCCCCTGGTTTGGATGGGGACGGTCTTGCTTTGTCCTGAGCTCTCAGCTTAGCTCAGCTCTTCCCAGACCCTCTGTAATGATTAACATGACCAAGTCCTGCATGGACACTGCTCTTGCTCTGTGGACCATAACAGCCCCTGAAAGCGAGGCCCTAATGTGCCCCCAGGCCAGGCTGCTCCAGCATCTCCAGCCCACACCGACAGCCCCCTGCGTTTCTTCTGAAATGGCTGCTGGGTGGATGAGCAATCCTGTCCCCAGTGCAGAGCATGTGTGGGACAGACACTGCCTCTCCCAGTGGATTCCCCATCCCATCCCCATTTGCGGGACTGGTTTTCTGGTTGCTGGTGACATCCAGCCTGGATGGGGGATCTCCCAGTGCTGATGAGTCACCCTCTTCCCAGCCCATCTCCACCCTCCTGCATCTCAAAGCTTGCTCAGACCCACATCTCCCCATGTCCCCTCTGGCCCCACCTCAGTGTCCCTGAGGCACTGGTAGGAGGCAAGGTGTCCTAGTCACCCCCAGAGCCATCTCTGTCCCCGTGTGCCCCCTTCTTGCTGCTCCTGTTGATGAAGTCTTATCTCAGCCGAGCAGGATGGCTGCCGCCCTGCTGTGAGCTGGTTCTCCCACCCATGGGGTGGTGCCCCCTCCTGTGCTCCCCAAAAGCCCTGCAGCAGCCAGGACTCCTGGGGTCATTTCCCAGCTCTGCCACTGGCTCGTGGCTTTGCCGCAGTGCCTCAGTTTCCCTCTGGAGACACCAGGACGAGGGTATCGAGGGTATCTTGGCTGTCCCCCCACCAAGCCTGGCCATGGGTACTGGCTGGGCATCCCTGATGGCCCTTGGGTGCTCTCCCATCCCTTCTCTCTGCAGGACGGTGCCTGCTGTGGTTTTCTGGCAGTGGGTGAACCAGTCCTTCAACGCCATCGTCAACTACACCAACCGCAACGCTGCCTCCCCCATCTCGCTGAGGTGAGTGTGCCCCCATGTGGGACAGGGACCCTCCATGTCAGGACCCCACTGATGCCTCATAAAGACACCTCATGTCCCATCTTGGGCACCAAAGGAACCGAGTCAATGAGTTAGTGCTTCTTTTCTCTCCCTTCTTTGCAAATAACTGTCCAGGCAAATTGGGGTGGCTTACATCACGGCCACCAGTACAGCCCTGGCCACTGCAGTGGGACTCAACCTCTACACCAAGGTACGCCGGGTCGGGGCCAGGTGGGGCAGCTGGCCGCATCCTGCCCTCCCATACTGACACCAGCCTGTGTCCCACAGAGAGCCCCCCCCTTGCTGGCCCGCTGGGTCCCCTTCGCGGCCGTGGCTGCTGCCAACTGTGTCAATATCCCCATGATGCGGCAACAGTAAGTGCCATGTGCGGCTGGGGCACTTGAGGGACCCAGCTCCCTCCGAGGTGAGCCGGAGGCAGCTGGGCTCCTGGGCCGCTGGGTTGTCCTGCTGTGCTTTCCTGTCCTGGGGGCTGGAGGGGGTGGGAAGACAGGAGGATGGTGAGCTGGGATCTGCACATTTGTGGTGCAGATGGATGGGTCTCTGGTGGGGGGTGCTGGGTGGGGTGGCTCAGCCTCTGCCTGGGGCAGGAGGGAGATTTTGGGCTGAGGACAGCTGTTCTGGGGTCTGAGCTAGAAGATCCCTCAGACGCAAAGGTCTTCTGCATGTGGTCATGGGAGAGCCACAGTCTACGATGTCTTGGCACTGGGACACCCTAGATGGGACCCATGTGGAGACCTGTGTGTGCTGCTTGGAGTCCCCTGTGGGTCACGGCACCAGGGGCTGGGGTGCTGTGCAGGGACTGTCCCCTGGCGTGACTGCAGGTCCCAGGCGGGTTTCCATCCCCTGGACAGCCAGACGCTTGTTCGC